TGGGACTATTTGACTGTTTTTTTCTTAACCTATTTATTTATGAAGCTCCTGAAAAGTTTATTTGGAGGAGTTTCCACCATCTGTCTTAGTTCACTTGTTACCTACAGTTAGTAGCCTAGAGAATAAGCAAGAAAGAACCTCTTACACAACACACAGCCTGTGGCGCTTCCCTTCAGATGAAGATTTTTTTGTTTTAATGGCTCATTGGTGCCTTGAGCACACTGGAACAGTCTACAACGCACCTATCTGAGACTGACTTTCCGCTTCTCCTGTTTACTGTCTGTGTCTGTGCTTCCGCATAGACTGCTGGTTTGAAACCTTCTTATAGTTGGGCCTCTCATTGCTGCCTTCTCCGCAATCCCTTGGTGGTGTTTCTTCTGTCCTTGCTGTCATCATCATCTTGCCAGTGTGGGGCTCAAGGTGAGCACAGCAGCAGAGCCTGCAGTGTGATACACTGCTGGATATCATTCCCAGCCAGGGGTCCCTGCTTTAGGCTGCAGGGTTTCCTTGACCAGGATGTTGGTATTGCATTGTGAGGTGCTCATACAGAAATTGATGTTGCTTGTGCCTTGGCTGGTAAGTTTTTTTAAGTTCTGAGTCAGCAAGTCGTCGGGACAGTGGGAGACTGGTCTTCAGGAAGCAGTGTATGGGTTTCCCCCGTTCTGCTCCCAATTTGCTATTTACATGTCAAAGACTGTTTGGGATATTTTTATTTTGTTAAGGTAGCCATGTTTGTTTGGCTTGCCTGGCCAGATGATGGATGTGATGTACACGTTAGTGACAGCAGAACTTGAAGGTAACTTTGGATTTGCATGAGATCTGTGTAACTAAATGTGGGAAGGAATTGGTGTGTTCTCAATAGGAGGCCCTTGGCTGTAGCAGCCTGCTGGCCTTTTGGCCTTGCAGTAGGCTTTGTTCAGCCTTTTTCCTGGTAAGCAGTCTGGCTGTTCTGGGTTGTTTCCTTTGGAGTTACTTTTTTTTAGACATTAATTGAATTTAGTTGCTTTCATGTTTGATTGTTTTACATGAATAGTGCTTGCAGTGCTAAGTTCATCCTGCAGCCTGTATCTCATAAAATTAAAACCAACATACAATATCTGGAAATATTACTGTCAAAAGATTTATCTCAAGTATTTTGGATCATCTTACTCATTTATGTTATATTGCATGTTCACTGAAAAGACAACAGGATTAACAAAAAATACCTTTGCAAGCAGGTTTTAAAATTGGGGTCAGAACCCTTTTTAAAGAGTATTTTTTTCTTTTATTCTTTTCTTAAGCAAAACAATTTTAGCTGGAATGGCCTGCAAAGCATTCACGTAGATGGTAAATGGAGTTGGCTGAAAGGAATTTGACAGTATGGGTAATTGTGTAACTAAACTACCTAGTGATAGACTTGCACATTTTACTCACTACTTCCTCTGCTCAATTTCCTGTGTTGATTCAGGAAGAAAGTTGCCTCCTCTGCTGGCAGGGTAATCCCAAAAGTCTCGGCTGGGGATTAGACCCCTTTTTGATGGTCCAAACCAGAAACTGGGAGGTGCCAAATTCCATTTGTCTGAAAGTCTTCCCTGATAATTTATGTCTCTTGCAATCAGTGAAGCTGGAGAAAATGCTTTTGATTTTTTTTTGGAAGTTTCTAAGCAAAAAAATTTTGTCTGTTAGATTTAAAAACCAGAAGTGAAGATGGTTCACATACACCCTCATTTTAATGCAGTTTCTGTTTCCTCTGTGCAAGTGTGGCCATTTTTTAGAGCAACTCATGGAGATGTCTTCTTGATTCTCTATGAAGTTCAAATAGTTCAATTAGTAGCAGTTAACTATGGCACTCTCTCCTTAAAGTGAGAACGTAAACAATGTGGGGAGCTTTTTCAGTAGGGTTTTACAGCTTTCAACGGGATAGTGTTCAGTGTGGAGTTTGTTTTTTATACTATATATTCTATTTATAATGTTTTTTATCATGTTCTTTTAGAATGTAGCAGTTTTATGTATTGCCTAAATACCAGACCATTTCAGATGATAAGTTCAATGGCTTAGTTTGATCCTGAAAGGCTTCATGTGTAGTAAGTACCAAATTGTGGTGTCTCTCTAATATGCTTGTCTAATTCAGTGCTGCGTAACTTGAAACCATCCTTTTAGCTTTTTCTACTTTTTGCAGTAATTATCATTTAGGTGTTTCTTAAGTTCCTCTGCAATATGAAGTTCATGTCTATTTAGAGAAAATAATCACCAATGTAGGTACACAATGCATATAAATTTACTGACACGTGTTTTGTCTACACTTAAATGTAGTCAAGAAACCAATTTATTCATGCTTTTCTCTGTAAGGTATTATAGTTTGTGAGCAAGGAGAAAAATATTTTCAGCTGTGCATATGATATCAAGACCTCCAAGAAAATTCTGGTTTTAATGGGATTATTACATTTTGACTCATTCTGTGTGAATACTGAGAGAAGTATAAAGTAGTTAGGACAGAAAGTAATTAGAGTATTTTAATAAGGGATGCTGAAATGTGTATGGGAATTTTTGCTGGGATTTATATGTTTATCAAAAGTGGGAATACAAAAGAATATTTGGTTTAGATCTCAGAAACAGAACCATCTGCAGCAACAACTTCCTGAAAAACTTGTGTCTGTTGTTTTAGTGGGTGGGAGACCATCAGCTTTATATGTTGTTCTGTCCTGCTATCTCTCGCCTGCTTCTTTATCCGTGGGATTTTTCTGTCATATCTATATGTCAAAACACATTATGAGAATGAATTCACATCTTGTTTGTTCATACAGGTGGAAATAATAAATTTTGACTGAAAATCTTTATTCCGCTAGTATTTTGACAATATTAATACAGGTTTTGTATCTCAAATATAATAGCTAAAGGAAAATTTTGTTGTTGAATTAAAGGTGTCCTTCCTCTTATAGCTCAATTATCTTTTAAGTGCTGTGGGGAAAAAAAAATTATGAATTACTGTTTGATATTAGCCTTGTGTGTTGCAATTGCTACAGTAAGGAGAAGGTGTACTTATTTGATCAAACAAAGTTATGTGTATGTGTAGGAGAAGGAGTGAGTGGCCTAAAGTGTGATTAATAGCTAGGACTAGATACACTGATTGAACAAATAGTGTTTCTCCGTATTATGCTTTCCTTCTGATAATGTCCTGACATTGTTAATCAGTGTCTTTTGCAGTCTGAATAAATAGAATGTTCCTCTCTCAAAGCAAGGAACGCTGTACGAATCTAAAGCTACCTGTTCAGGACGCTAGTTTGGGGTTTGCCACCTGAACCTAGCTTGGTGAGATGAGAGTTAATGAGGTCAGTGCAGTTCTGACTCTGTCACAGAAGAAAGGAAGATGATGGTGGTGGGATTAAGTAACAAGATATAAACTCATAGATATTAAAAAAAAATCTTGTCATACATGTGTGTGTAAATATATTGTGTGTTTATATAAAATATTTATATAAAGACACATAGATGAGCTCCTAGGGTAATTGTGACCATTGTATGGGTGTATGACTCCTACCTGTAAACATGATCATGAGATGCCAAGCCCTGTCTAGTTAAGAGCTGTGTTTGGCTAAGGGGAAGGGCTTAAAAATCTTCATGCCCTTTTCCAGAAGCTCCAGTTCCTCCAGCCTGGCCCTGAATGTCTCCTGCTGCAAACTGACCCTTTTTCTCACTGTTCAGTCTCTGTTTGCCTTCCTACAAATACCTTCAAGAAAGCACTGTTGGCTCTTCAGCTGCACCTTCAGTTTGCTAGTAGGAGCAGGGCAGTATTTCCTTCCTACTTTTGTGTCTGGGTGAGAGCGTTATTTAGGCCAGTCTCTTAGGCAGATCTGCCTCATGTAATTCATGAGTACGATAGATTCTGTACTGAGAAAAAAATGAAGGACCTGTACCTGTTGATTTACTAAATTACTGAAGTGGATGTGAGCATTGGATTTATGCAGTAAACTATGATGCATGAAAAAAGGTTTAATTGACTTCATTCTTAACTTATTTTAAAAGGATGAGGTTAGAAAATGTGATCATCTCCCGCTGTGCGCTCTGCATTAGTAGCCTTCCACTGTTCTTAACTGTATAAGGATTGCACTGGGGATTAGCTTTAGTCTTGACAATATAGAATGGAGGATTAATAAGAAAATATTCAGCAGGTTGAGTTTAGCAGGATGACAACAACATGCAACTGCCTTTTATGCTATCATCACAACTCTCCCTCCCTGTTGGTCTTGCATGTAGTTGACATCGTATGCCTAGAGAAGCAAACCGGGACACTGCAGGAGTTAATCTTAAACTTTCTCGTTGCTCCGTAACATTTAAAATTATTTTTTTTTTTTCCTTCACAGGAAATGACCTAGAGGCCTTACAAATACATTTGTGCATTTTTGTTCTGAGTCTCCAATTGAGGGCAAATGCAGTGTGGAAGCACCACTTCTTAATGTTACAACGGAAACAACTACCTCAACAAACAAGGAAGGGGAAAGAAGGCTTGCAATAATAAACACTCTAATTTTTAATAGCTTACACTTGCAAAGTCTTCTGTAAACAGTCCAGATTTTTTTTTTCCCCCTCCAGTATTAATAAGAGACACTACAAGTGAACTAATTTGGCAGACTGGATCTGTCAAGGCATTTGAAGATATTTGATCTGCTGACATAAGGATTTGCTTTTTCAAGGAAGGAGCCTCTGCACTGCTCTCAGAATCGCTGTTGATCGGTGGTTTGCTCCACTTTTCCTGATATTACTGATGGGAAAATCGTATTAAGCTATTGCTTCTAAACCTTTTATTTGCATTGACAAGAATAACTTTTGTAGACTTAAGAGCAAGTGACAACAATATGCTCATGAAGAAATTGTAGGCGGTAGCTTCTCTGCTCCAGCGTTGCTTTTCTGTGCGCAGAGTGGAAAACCAAATGAGACAGAGCATTATTAAGATACATCGGCTTGCTTTTTGACTACAGTTTTAACCGCAGCAGGGCTGCACTGGACACTGAAAATACGAAGTCAGCAAATCTGCTGCCTTTCTCACTGCTGATACAGATTATACAGACGCTTGCCTTTTTGAAATGCCTTTTGTGAAACCTGTGTACACAGTCCTCCACTGTTACTGTACATAACTATATATTTGAGGAAGGAATTTGACACGTGATTGTTAATTCAAGGAATCTTTGGACAAGCACTCACTTATGTATTGCTGTAGTGCACAAGAAAGCAAAATGGACTATAAGCGGCGCTTTTTGCTTGGCGGGTCCAAGCAAAAAGTGCAGCAACACCAGCAGTACCAAATGCCTGAGCTAGGCAGGACCCTGAGCGCACCGCTGGCATCTACATCCCCAGCATCTCCCTTGGTCTCCTCAGCTGCTGCGGGCGGCTGCAGCCACCCTGTGTCCCATACGACTCCGATTGCAGACATCCAGCAGGGAATCTCCAAATACCTGGATGCACTCAATGTGTTTTGCCGTACAAGCACTTTCCTTACAGACCTTTTCAGCAGTGTATTTAGGAACTCGCACTATTCTAAGGCAGCTATGCAACTGAAAGACGTGCAGGAACATGTCATGGAAGCAGCAAGTCGACTCACAGCAGCAATAAAACCAGAAATAGCAAAAATGCTGATGGAACTGAGTGCAGGAGCTGCAAACTTTAAAGATCAAAAAGAGTTCAGCCTACAAGACATTGAGGTAAGTTACCTCGGGGGATACTGTTTTGCGTGTGAATTTGTATCGTTTCTTCTTAGTTGGGCATCTCTGCAAAATCACTTCTACACCGAAAGTTCCCTCTGCTTTGCTTTGTATATGTGGACTATGCTGGTAAAAAGAGAAACTCTTAATTTCTTATGTTTTCTTGAAAGTAGTAAGTCATTTGCAGTGCCTGACTTCCAGCTGTTGAATTAGGTATTTAATAGGTATTTCTGTATAAGAACTTGTACTCTATTTAAAGATTTAGTGAAGTAAGAAAGACGAAGTACAATTATATTGTCTCACCTGTATATTTCTAAATGATAATCTTCTATATGATTTAATCTTAAAACCAGCAATCCAACAACATCTTTCTTCTTGGAGGAGACCATGCTTAGTTTAAAAGTAATAATGCAAAACAAGAACAAAAACCCCCAACCAATCCAGCGCCCTGCTGCTCCAAACCAGCTAGATAGGAACAGTTTTCTGGTTCATGTTAGCTAATATTTCTAACAATGTTTAGCCATTATATTCTAAATCAGCCTATACTTTCCTTAGTATTATCCGTTCTGAGAGGAAACCTGAACACTGGGGAGCAGCGTATTGTCATCAGTGTTTGTGTAAAACTGTGTATTACTTGACTAATGATTGAAATTGGTGTGAAATAATGTTTTATCACTCTTCGAAGCATTTTTTGTCTTTTTGAGCTGTTGTGCTTAAAAAGAAAATGCCATGCTAGACTGAGACATTTTACATTTTGTATTGTAAAAATTTGTCCTGACTTTGCTATAATTTCCATATGCTGGCAGCGAGTGCCCAACAGCCAGAATTCAGAGGATGTGAAGTTAAAAGAGGATCCCCAACTCTTACTATACCTGGCTGTGTATTTCTGGGTATTTCTCCTGTAATAAGTGTCTTAATTACATAACATGCAGTGTTAAGTGACAATCACAGGTGAATCCCTTGTGTTTTAAGTAGCTCCTCATGTTTTGACATATTTCTTTACTTTACAGCAGTTTTTGAGAAGTTATTCCTACAGAACTTCATCCTGAGTGGAAGACTGATGTTTGGGTTCTCTTATTTTTTTATGTAGATTTCAGGTAACTTTGTGAGGATAAATGTTATACACACAGTGTATATCTGCTTTCTGTAACTGACAACTTATGGATGAAGTAGTTAAGTAGAATGCTATTTGTAGTACTTAATCATAATAAGAAATGCTACTTTTTCAGTGTTATATACTTAGTATAGAATGAATTAAGATTTGCTATGTATTTGTTATACATGTCTTCTGGTATTTTTGAAGGCAATCTGATAACATCACTCTTTTTAGCTATAGTATTTGTATACTGCTTTTATAACCTAGTCAAGCAATTCTAGGTGCTAAGTCAGGCCCTGCCCTACACACTCTGTGGAGAGAGTGCTTCTTCAGCAGTTTGTTCATCAGCAAAGCAAAGCGTTGTTTGCTCAAGTTGGCTGTGTGTCCTACCAGCTTAAAGCAAAGGTAGAGAAACTTGCTTTGGTCCGTGCTTTACCTTGTATAGACCAAATCCATGTTCGTGAGCTCCATGTGCACTTGCCATGCTTTCCTCAACAGGCAGGTCTGCGGTAGGAACAAATGTAAAGAGAACGCAGGCAAAACCAGCTGGATTGCTTGGTTCTGATTTTAGGCATATCTTGTAGAAACTGATCACTTGTCATTGTACTTTTACCATGGAATCACAGAGTGGGTTGAGTTGGAAGGGACCTTAAAGCTCATCCAGTTCCAGTCCCCTGCCACAGGCAGGGACATCTTCCACTAGAGCAGGTTGCTCCAAGCCCCGTCCAACCTGGCCTTGAACACTGCCAGGGATGAGGTAACTACTCTGGGCACCTTGTGCCACCGCCTCACCGCCTACACAGGGAAGAACTTCTGCCTAAGAGCTAATCTAACTCTCCCCTCTGTCAGTTTAAAGTCATTCCTACTTGTCCTATCCCTACATGCCCTTGCAACAAGTCCCTTTCCAGCATTCTTGTAAGCCTTTACGTATAGGAAGGCTCCACATCTTGCGTATAGCTTTTTTTGGGTTTTTTTTTAAATATAGGTCAATATTTGTGGGAACTTTTGTGTAATGGGACAAATACTGTGTTCTGCTTTTGCTTGAGAACCAGTGAAATTTAAGGTTTTGACACTGACTCAAATGGTTGTTTTGTAAGTCAGCCAGGGAGCATGGTTTAGATGACTTAAGTATATGGGCAAAGTAGTTGGGCAAAGTAGTTGGATGATTGTGCCCAGGAAGCAGTTATCATTTGCTCACTGTCAAAACGGACCTTGGCAGGTCAGTATAGAGAATATATTTAAGTTTGTAGGTGACATGGAAAGCATGTGATACAAGTATGCTGGAACACCTGCTGAATTAAAAATAATCTTGAATTGAACAAATGAGTTTTCAGTTTGGGATAGAATTCAGAGGGGAAAATTTAATGTCACAGTGTTTAAAAAGACATTTTCAGCCTCAGAAGTGGAGCCCCTGGGAAGCAGTTCTGAAGAACTGTTTTATGGCTTATGGTAGTCATATGCTGAGTAGGAGTCAGTGTTGTGTGGTTGCAAATAATAAATCAATGTTGTTGCTATTCTGCAAAGAGGCAGTTGTCACATTTAACATGACTGTAACCTGCAAGAACTGTGAAAGAAGTATTCAGCTTTCTTCATTGGTTATTATGGAGTTAAACACAACAGTGCCCCCATGCACCACTGCTGTGGTACTTAGAGAAATAGTGAGCAACTGGAGAGACATCAGAGAGTAACGAGTAATTGGGCATCCAGGAAATAAGACTTCAGAGGAAAAACTGAAAAGACTGACTACAAAAAGAAAAGACTAAGAAGGAAAATCAGAATTGCTCAGGTATGTAAGAATCTGCCAGAAGATGCGGCATTGTTTTGTTCTTCGTGTCCACATAAGGTGGAGCAAGAAGTAATGAATTTAAATTTCAGAAGGCAAGATTCATATTAGATGCTGTGGAAATACTTTGTAGTGTTAGTGAAGCACTAATGTAGATTGGTATAAAGGGTGAGAAGCCTCCATCATGCATAACTTACAGAACAGGTTAAACCTGCATCTAGGAAAACTAACCCAGGTGAAATTCCTCCTTGGGACAATAGAATGACCTTCAAGAGCCTCTCCTACTCTGCATTTCTGTGGTTTGAAAAGTGAGCTATTTATGCTGAAATTTTAATTTAAAAAAGTGTGGTTTGGGTTTTTTCCCCCCATATCTATAGAAAAGTTAAGGTTTTTTAAAACTATCACCAGGATTAAAAAATTCACAGTGGAAACAGAAAAACATGAAGGTCTTGCTTGATTTCATCAGAGTTCACTGACCAGGGAAACTGAGGACCAGGAGTGTGAGAGGCAGTGTAATTGTTTCCTTAGAAAATACAAGAGGGAAATACAGTAATATCTGAAGTTGCTTTTGTAGCTTCTGTAGTGATGACTGAAAGAACTTACAACTCTGAGAAAGAACTGAGTGATTGAGTGATGGTTGAGTGTCTGAGTGGCAGCTCAGCGATATCCTGTCAAGAGGTACTCCAAAGCCTCTTGTACGAGGGATGGAGTCGGGTAGCACGGAAACAGTAGGAGATGAGTTGTACTTCATGGTGGGGTGGGAGGACAGAACCTCAAATTCATGAGGACGACATGAGAATGAGGCTTTTTCTATGCATGAGCCCATCTAAGAAAGACACACTTTTCCTAAGCCTGCCTCATCAGAGCCTGTATGTCTTGGGTAAGAATGAGAAATACAAGCAGAGCAGGTTTGGCTTTAGAAATTTAGCAGAGAGCTATAGCTTTTCTAAAGTGCCACACATTTTTAAACTAGTGTAGTGGGCTCTAGCCTCCAGGGCAGGCAGTATCAAGAACACTTCAGGTTTTGATGAACATTCAGTGTGTGACTTGGATTTGGACTAAAAGAAAGGTGAGGTGGCCTGGACTGTAGCAGCAGTAGGTGAGGGTTTTAATTCATTTACTATTTTTTAGCTGTGAACAAAGCTTGCTAGTTCAGAGCTGCCTGCCAGGATGTGCAAGAAGGTGACTTCTGTTGATCAAAGTGTTGGTGACAGATGGAGTTTCCCAAGGTTTCTTAATTTCAGAAATGCAAATGCTGATTTTTGTTTTCTGCCTTTCATTTCCCCTTTCAAAAAACTTTGAATTCTCAGGTGTTTTGTGCTTATATGGGTGAGAAACAGGTTAGAAATCAAGGGGAACAAGAGTGTGTTTTATGTTGTTTTCCAGCTCTGTTGTAAGCTGGAAGACTGCAGTAAAGCTGCACTTCTGTTAATAAAAGAGCTAAAGGAAATCCGGGGGGGAGGGGGAAATTAAAACTGGAAAAAAGTTTGTGTATTTCCTCATCTTCTGTGAAGTTTTGCAGCAGCCTCAGTACTGCAAAATGTGAAGAATGAATCTTGGTTTAGCTACATGGAGTTTGTGTGTTGTCTTAAAAGCGGTGGTAATGACAACAAAAAGGAAACATGAATGGACACAGAATATTTACTTGGACACTTGGTTTTGTACTAATGGAGATAATTTTTTGCTTTTATCTATATAAAGTAAATGAAAATTTTTAATCAAGAAGCTTGTGGGACAAAAATGTCTGAGTAAATGTAAAATGTAGGCTGTCCTTAGCAAACATTGTGAAGCCCAGTTTTAAATAAATTTCTTAAAATTATCATTATCTTTCCTGTGATTTGCAGGGATTGGCTTCAGACTTTTCCAAGTTGAGGAACTGTCAGTAGCAAAAAGCTGCTTCAAATCAGTAGAAAATGCTATGGCTTGCTGGGATGCCATTGTCCTCTTGTCTTGCTCTACAGTCTCAACATCTGCTCTCAGATCTGCTAGCATTGTCTTCAGAAATACTTAGTACTACATTTTAATGGCTTTTTATTTTTAAAATGCTTAACACTTAAATGCTTTTTTGCTAGATCATGACATTTTAGTAGCTGTCAATATCAGATTAACACTGCTGGTTGACTGTTAGCGGAAATGAGTCTGTCAGGTTGCCCGTGTCTGCTAATACTGTAGCTGTAATTCTGCTGGAATCTAGTTTGTCTTGTAGGTGACACTTCTTCAATGAGCAGGATTGTGTCTTCCCTTAGAGGTGTTTTGGTCATGAGATCACTCTTGCAAAGTGCAGGGCACTGCTGCATAGTAAAAATGAATAATATTCTGCACACTTTCAGTAGTATGTGGGAAAGGGTGCTATCTCGTCATCTGGTATACCAGTTTGAGTCATACCTCCTTGTTAGCTTCATTATGTTGCTATTTTAAGCTGACTCTTCAGTGGGTAGACGGGTTATGCACAGGGCTTATTGTTACCAAAGCCATTAAGAACTCTGCTAGGGGAAAAGGAGGTAGTAGGAAACCACTGAAAAGCGTGTTGTGGTGGTCTGGTTTTTTGAGTATTTTGTTTGCTTAGGGAAATAGCCGTATCTCCCCTTGCCCCCCCCCAAAAAAAAAAAAAAAAGAAAATCTACTATGTAAAATGGTAATTGGAACTGCATGTCAGTGTTTGTATCAAGTCTGGAAGACTGACACTGATTTGATATAGATTTGATATGTAGATTTGATAATAAAGTTTGCTAACTTTGTTAGTGGTAGTGTTCTTTTTTTAAAGAACCTGTTGTGTAAAATTTGTTTGCCAGGGAATTTGCATGACATCACTGTTTAGAAATAAAATTTGGCAATTTTATGTGTACTTTGTCCAGCAAAATACTCCAAAGTTGATTGTGTGCCCCCATTAGGAGGATGGTATGGTACAGATGAACCTAATACTGCATCTCTACCTGATGCTCCTGTTTGTAGATAACCAGTTTGATTAAACTCATCACCTGTTTCAGAGACAAGGGATTCTGAAGTGAGACCTCTACAGAAAGTTCCATTGCTTCCAACTGCCTAAACAGGAAGACAGATTCCTTTAGGTAAGGTTATTCCCTGCTAAGATAGATAGCTGTTCTGCCTGATAACATTAAGGAAGTAAAGGTGCTAGAGCCATGTTTCTTGGGACAGAAAGCTTGCAAGCTGAAGACCTCATTGTATGTGCAATATAAATTATTCTGAGAAATGGTTTAAGAAAACACATCACTACCAAGAAAAAGTTATTAGTTGACACCTGTGATGATTCCACTTTGATTACTACGTAGTCTCTAGGTTTTTAGTTTGTTCTTACTATGGTCTGAAGTAGGAGAGTCAAACAATTCTGCATGGGAAAGTAGGAAAAAATAACCTTGTAAAAAGAAATGGTGGTGTGTCTATCTGTGGAAAAACCCATATCCATATGCTAATACTGTTCTGCAGGCTTTGCAACAGAGATTTAATATGTTGCTTTACACACTTCAGTAACTGCTGGCCAGCCCTGGCTGCATTTGTTAAACTAGGGTGGTTATACTTCTTTCCCCCATTAAGATAGTTCCAGCTCTTTGGAAGAAAATCCTCAAGAAGTGAACTTTAAAGCAAAGTGAGTTTGGCATCTGCAGTGAGCATTTAACAGTGCAAAAATCCTCCACCACTTGGATTTTATTTAAGCAGTTAAAACCATCCTTTACCCATTTCGGAGGAAGACTGAAATAGATTATTTTTTTGAACAAAATAGGAGTTCAGTAAAGCAGATGTTACTATTTGTCTTTACTGTTTAACATTATAAATTATACTAGGAATGTTGTGTGCTGCCACTTAAAAAAAACTAAACCATTTGTTTATTTTGAGCATTATTCCCAGGCAGGGGAAACTTCAACCTCTGTACCTTAAATATTCTTTGAAACTTAATCGTCTTGAAATTCCTAATGAGTCCTAGTTTCTTCTTCCCCTGAGAACTGCATTCTTCGTACACAGAAATATTCAGATCAACAGTTTTCTTATAAATATTTCTAACCTTGTAGCTAGGAAAGTTGGAGGGTTTTTTGTTCTTTTTTTTTTTTTTTTTTTTTTTTTTTTTTTTTTTTTTACTTTATCATTTGCTGACTGCTTTTTTAATAAGGCAAACTCCTTTCAGAGGTCAATCAAAGTACCAAAAATGTTTAATTTCATGCCTTGTACAAAGAAGGGAAGTGATTGAACCAGAATGGAATGTCAGAAGGAGTCCGGATGCAATGGAAAATAGCATTGCCACCACTGGTTCTTCTGAAGTAGATAGTTAATGCATATAACTGTTCATGTGACTACAGTCTTGCCAGGAAGATCATTGTGTCTGAATATTTTTATTCCAGAAGAATGTAGCTGAAAATAAGCCCGATGATTTATTTGCTCCGAGGCATAATGGCTTTGTACATTATCTGTGTATTTTATGATTTATTCCTGAAATGGAATTCAAGTCTTTTTTTAATAAATCAAAGTCAAATATTCATTTTAAACCACTTTGTGTGACAAACTCCATCACAGAATTAAAAAAACACTGAATAGCTTTTAAATACTTTGTCCACTAATTTGGAAAATACTTGCTGCTTTGCTGCATTGTAGCTGTGCTTTGTGGTAACCTTTGGTCTGCTTAGACCGTGGCCCTCAAGGTAGACAGAGTGCTCCTGTTTGTGCTGCTTTGCTCTCCAGGTTGTCCTTCTGGGTGGCTGCGCTCCTGTCTGGTCTTCCACTGGTGGTGTGGCTGTGCCTAATGCTCAAGTTGTGTGATCTGATTTGTTTGTAGTAACTGAGGCATATGCCTGTCTTTGGTCATAATTCTGATCAGCACTGGTATGACAGAGGGAGAGAAATGCGGATGGAAGCGTGCAGGGGGCAGCGGTCTGTGGCACACAGGTGGTACCCCCTTCCCCAGCACAATGCTGGTGCTGCCCTCAGCCCAATGAGTACGGGGAGGCACCAGCAGCCCTTCACTTCCCTGCCTTTCCTCAGGTTTTCCAAGTGAGTATTCCATGACCCATTTCAGTGAAATAGTCTGAAGAGCGGATTTGTGCCAGTGTTAGCAGTTCGCGTCAGACAATGCGAGCGACAGGGCTGCAACTTCGTGCATTCTGCAGTCACTGTTATGTTCTAAAAATGGCACTGTGTTGCCACTGCGTTACGTGGCAAAATGTTTTCATGCTTATTGCTGGTTATTGCTCTGCTTGGAAGATAAACTGCTGGATTAAACTTTTCTGATTTTAAAGATAACGTTTTAAAATTATTCGGATTTTTGTTTTGCTTTGGTCTTTCTAGCATAAATTCAGCAAGGTCTATGTGCAGGTGGGTTTTGCTGTTGGCTTTGTCCTTGTGATAAAATGCTACTCCCCTCTTTGTATTGTTCCATGTGCTCGGTATTGCTAAGTAACTGAACAAGTTTTTCATTCTTCAAATAACCATAACTTGAGTGCAGAAGTAAAAATTACATGGGATCAGTGCAATCTCCCTTTAATTCGTAGAAACCAATGTTTGCTTGCTGTTTACCTTATTCTAAGTAAATGGTTAAATATCAAGTGTTACTTATGATCTCAAGTGGTTTTTCTTAATAGAAAAAAAGGTCTGAGTACCCCAGACATTGAACAAAAGCAGAAGAGAACCTTCCATGAAATCCTCTATTTGCTTGAAATGGCTTTATTTTTTCTCCCACAGGTACTTGGGCGATGTTTCTTGACGGTGATGCAGGTCCACTTTCAGTTCCTGTCACAAGCTTTGCAGAAAGTCCAGCCAGTGGCACACTCTTGCTTTGCTGAAGCTGTAGCCCAGGAGAGAAAGAATGTTAGTGGAGCTGGAACCTCAAATTTAAGCCCCACAAATGAGCTAGAAGATGCAATAAGATCATGGAGAGGAGCAGCAGAGGTACAGAGGTCTTGCTGTAGTTACATTATATTTAGTGAAATGGCAGTTAGGTTTAGTGAAAAACAGATCTAGGCTGGATGCCCTAATAAAGGAAGTCTCTGATTTTCAAGATATGCTACATTTGAAGTGGGGAACATGATGCAGTTAGTTTTGGATGCTAAAACTTGTTTTGCTTATATGGTGATTTATGATCAGCATTTCTGCCCTGTGTACAGTTTTCTTTGTGATATATAAGGAGTGCACAAACAGTGGAAGCAGCTTTTTGTTAGTAATGAATTAACAACATTCAAATGTGGTTTGGCAGAAGTGGTAAAGTGTTTGCAAAAACAGCAAAAAACTTAATGAAAAATAATTTATATTATGCCTAAAGCTTTTCTGCTTTCCTTTGCACTATTAAAGTCTGCAGACTGATAGACCAAAATGGCTTCAGACACTGCATGCACAGTTTCCTTAAATTCAAGTAACTTGGAGCATGTGCTTTTGAAGCCCAATTTGGCAGCACACACAGGCTTTTTATAATCATCTTGACTGGAAATCTTATCAAGGTTTCCATTTATCAACCTGGGATGTGCAAGGTATACGAAAGCAAACAAGTTTCTTTTAGAATTATGAATGCAGAGGAACTGTAATTTTTACTGCAGCATAAATGTATTTCCCTGGATAAAATAAGGATTTGGGAGTCCTTTAGGTGTATTACAGATAATTGTAACAGGCCTAATCCTGGTATAGCTGTACTCCTTTTCCATTAAAAATAGTTAATTTTATGTTTAGTATACTTAGTTCCTTAAAACTGTTACAATTTCTAGAAATGTCCTGCCATTGCTATCAAGTTTTATTTAAAATGTGGTTAAAATGAAACTTGGGTTTGCAGAATCTGAGTCCTTAACTTTCCCTTCTACCTCCTTGACAGCCCTCTTCAGCTATTTCTGTTAATAAAACCTGTATTTTGAAATAGAGATTAATATAAGTATTACACTAATCAAATCCTTCATGAAACATGCATGGGGAGGAGAAGAGAAAAATACAGATTCTTCCTAGTTCCTAGAATAAAAATAGAAGAAACTTCTCAATTTTTATGATTGACTAAAATAACTTCTCTGAAGTATTTGTGTGGGGTTTTAGGATAGCATAAGAAAAATCTGCGATCTGTCATAATTTAGGTAGACTAATATACAAGTCATTTTGATAGAAGGAAGATTTGAAATACTGAAATCTTCCCAAATATTAACTTTGTGGAGGAAGGCAATCCATTATTTCCATATGAAACCAGCCTCCTTGACTGAGAATACACTGCTGTTTCAGAATAAAGTTTAAGACAATAGTTTGTCAGTAGCTCAAAACTATTTTCCCCTTTTAAGATTTTTTCACTTGGAAAATGATGTGATTTTGTATGTGTCAATGAGATGAGCAATGGCCTGTAGCACCAAAAATCCCCAATTTCAACATCCTGCTTTAGAGCAAGACTCCTTCCCAGACTGGAGAATATGCTTTTTCCAAGCTTAAATGCAGTTGCGAGCGAGTTTTTTGTTTTACCCTACTGAGTCATGGAATATTTTACAGTTAAAACTAGATACGTGGCTTTTCATATTTCTTATTTTTCAAAATCATACTACATAAAGCTATTCTCTTGCTGTGCTAAGTTGATCTTAGTCTTGTATGGCTCTTCTAAAATTGCAACACAGTAATCAACTTTAATTTTATAAAGCATATGCTGTGTACACAGGAGTGTTTGTCCACATGATTAAACTATTTTCTGTGGCAAGTAATACCCTTTATGTTGAAGTTTTAAGTCTCTCCTCTGGTAATAACAGTCATCATGTGGGCTTGTGTAACAGGGTCCTTAGTCCTGAGAGGGAGCTGAAATAGTAAAAGCAAACAATGAAGTCACTAGCCAACACCTATATGCCATATAAATTATGTGAGATTTGTACTTTCAAAGTAGCAGTAGAGATTTAATAAATTATAATAAATAATCTCCCCAGGATCCTTCCCACCAGGTGCTGCTTCTCATCTCCTTTATAATGTTTTAAACTCTGTGGGGTTTTTTGTTTTGTTTTGTTTTGTTTTTTTCTCCTCTTTAAAATTTAATTAAGCTTGACCTGGTTTAATGTTGAACCTCTTTACCTTGGATTTTTATTTTGCATTACAGGCCACGTCTCGACTGCGAGAAAGAGGCTGTGATGGCTGTTTGGCAGGAATTGAAGTTCAGCAACTTTTCTGCTCACAGAGTGTGGCAATCCCTGAGCATCAGCTCAAAGAGCTAAACATGAAAATTGACAGTGCTTTGCAGGTAGTTTTTAAAGTCTGCTGCTTTCCTGTGCATGTAGTACAGTCAGTGGGCCAAGGAATGAAATAGGGAAGGACTCTGTTACTGCAGAAATATGTACTGCAGGCAGCCATGAGGTATTTGAGAATTACAGTATTGGAATCTTATATGATAAATGTGTGTATGCTGTAGAACTGAGTAGGGTAAATCCATGTAACAATTCTTATGCATGTAGCCAGACATGATGACTGCTTGCTTACTTGCTGATACGTTCGTGTTATCTCAACTTTTTGTTTAATGTCAGGCTTACAAAGTGGCTTTGGAGAGCTTAGGCCATTGTGAATATGCAATGAAGGCTGGCTTCCACTTGAACCCGAAAGCTATTGAAGCAAGTCTTCAGGTAGGATCTGCTAAACCTGCTCTGTCTTTCATCCCTGCTCACCTAGAAAACAACTATTTCAAACAAAAAAATTGGACTCGTATTAAGATTTTCTAATGTCTTAATTTCTTCTAATGGATTTGTTCTGTGCTCCAGGGCTGTTGCAGTGAAGCTGAAGCCCAGCAAACAGGAAGGAGACAGACTCCACCTCAGCCCATTCAGTGTGAACTGCCCACTGTACCTGTTCAGATAGGATCACATTTTCTGAAAGGAATATCCTTTAATGAGTCTGCAGCAGAAAACCTAAAGCTGAAAACGGTAATAATCTGGATCTAACCACAGGAGTGAAGGGTTAAAAAAAAGTGAATTCCTTAAACTTCAGAGAACAACTGCCCGTAGAAAATCAGTGCCAAAGTTGTGTTTAAAAGAGCATATTTTTAGCCTGACTTCCTGTGGAAACAAGTTCTTGATAACATTGTAGGTCCACACCTGCTTCTGATAACGTTTTAACCACCTGGGAAAATTGAGTTCTATCTGAAAGCAGCATAGAAATATAGGAGGCACTGAAGCTTCTGTGATCTTTTTGACAATAGATGGGTTAGGTATCAAGAAGTGGAGGGGAACGTGAGCCCTTGCAGGTGGCTCAACTAGGTGATGCACTTCAGAGCTTTTCTCTGGTGCCAGAATAAGTCTGGCCCAGCCTAGCGCTAAGGAGGTACTTAGAAAAGAAGTATTCATAACAAAGCTCCTCTTAATGTCTTCTTACAAACTTTAACCACTTGTTAAAAATAATTGAAAATTGTGGAGAAGTTAATTGTATTTTCAGTGTGAAGGAATGGAAAAAGATGTCCATTTAGAAGTAATTTGGGCATTTTGAATCAGAATTTTCACCTTTTTTTTTTTTTTTTTTAAGTAAGCCCAGTTCTTTGCTCCAGAAAGAGTCGAAACCATCCGTGGCTCAAAATGCTAATTTTCTGTTGTCTGGGCAGTGCTTTTTGTAGTTTTGATTAAAGCGTTCTGCAAGTTAAGCAAAAATACTGTTTTATGATTTTGGAGGAGTATTGTGTTCCAAATAGCAGAGATGATCTTCTATATTTCTGTTCTGCAGTTGAGCTCTTCTAGTTATACAAGACTGTTCAGACGTAACAGACATTACAGTTGTCTGAAAAGTGTGTAAAACAATGCTAAATGCATGTGGAAGCATTGGTGTTAACGTTTCTGAATCATCTATTTAGTATGACAGAGTGTTTATTTTTTCAGCACACGATGCTGCAGCTGATTAAGGAAGCTGGATGCCATAATGGACTTACACCACGGGATGACTCTCCTGTTACTGAAGTACTAAATCAGGTTTGCCCTTCCACTTGGCGAGGAGCCTGCAAAACTGCTGTACAATTGTTGTTTGGCCAAGCTGGACTGGTAAGTGACTATGAATAGGCTTAGCAAAAAAAGGGCTACTTAAACATCCTGAAGAGAAATTGGATATTTTAAAATTAATTTCCAGAGTTTTACTTTGTGTTTCTCCATTTTTAATGCTGCAGCTAACTTGATTTATGAGCAAAATATATCCTTACAGAACGCAAGTTCATCTGTAGCTGACAGGAACAGGAGAATGTACTGTTTACTTTGTACTCTCTGTTTACCAGATAGAACGCAAGAATGAAACTTCTAATTCGTAGTGAAATAGAAAGATTTTCAAATCTGTACATGACCATGTTAAGAAGGAACACCCTTCCTACCCCTTCCTCTCCCCACTTCTCTCAGATTAGCTTTAAAAGCTGCCATTTTTTTAATTTCCTCTCTGCTTTGAATGGAAGCTAGGTTTCCTGCCTGACATAAGCCAGGAAGTCCTCCGCACCAAGTAATGCTACCTGACATCTCCAACAGAGCCCAGAGCAATTAAATACCTTGCTGTTGACATACATGTTCTTTAGAAACAAAACCCTTGGATTTTAGAGTGTTCAAACAGTTGCTAAAGATAGATGCTTGGAACATACTCTATAAGAAAATGTGTTTGTGCTCCCCTAACTAATTACTGAAATATCTTCATTTAATAAAGTGTCATTCAAGACACAGGTGGGTTTTTTTGGACTAATGTGAGTTTTCATTTGACTGGACAAAATGGGGGCATGAATGCAATAGGATAGGAAGGAAATGAAGTATCAAGGTACACCATAGCCTATGATAGTTTCTGTCAAGTATTCTTTGAATCATCTATAACCTACAGTAATCTAAATGCTTCTTGTTGATTCATATACAGATTCTTTGTTCGAGCTGATGGCAAGCCGTCAGGACTTTGTAACTAATTTTAATTTCTGATTAAAGGATCCATATTGCTACATACCTAGTAAATACCACATTTTTCAAACAAATCACACAGCTGATTATGTGACTTTGACCTTCTGTTGTAGTTCATTAAACCATATGCTTTTTGGTACTATTGACAAGATCTTCAATAATGGTGAATGATAAATGGTAAATTATAAATTTGTCAGGTGTTTCTACCTCAGCATTCCTTTGATACTAGATATTAGTATCTGTTAGAGGAGTAGGTTCAAATCAGAGTGGAATTCAAGTGTCTTTTCATGTAAAGGTGGCCTAAAATTAAAGGGACAGACCATCAGTATCCAACAGCAGTGCACCTGCTGTCAATCCTGACTTCACTGTGATACAGGAATTGAGGGGTGGGAGATGGTAGTGCATGAACCACTCTGTGTAAAGGAGCTTTGCAGAGAGGCATAAGAAGTTGGTATCTTTGCAGGGAGAGAAAGCAACTGTGGAATAGTAGAATTGTTCAAATTTCTACTGAGGTGTTTTCCAGGAAAAAGTATTACATATTAGTAAGTACAAGAACTAGAAAGAGGACTATGGTTAAGTGGGATTGTGTCTTCACCTACTGTTGGTCATGCTAGGATGCTGGGAGCCAGCAGCAAGGGATGGGAAATGAGGCCAAGAAAGGAACTGTTTCTCAGCAGCCCTATGGGAGTGTGCTGTAACTCGGGAGTTCTTGGCTCCTAAGTGTCTAGATGAGGAATGCCTTGGAGAATGGTGCACCTCCCACTGTTTCCTTTCCAGGGGGGTTCAGTGTTGTGCACACCCAAGTCCTGCCCTGATGAGATCTGGGGAGTGGCCCAAGGCACATTTGAACTCAGGAGTCTGAAAATGTCTTGATGTCCCCCAGTCTAGACATAACTAGTTAGACCTGCTAATTAAAGCAGTGATATTCTTCAGGTTTATCATAACATTCAGATAGTCGTCAGCATAAAACTTGCTTACACTTTCTCCCAAATGACAGTGCTGATATATGGAATATTACTTGTGTTAAATCATGGATGTCTCCAAAGCTTTTTGCATGAACCTCAGGTTCTGAAAGTAGCAGGTTTCTATCTTCAAAGATGTAGTAATGAGCTATCTGCATGACGAAATACTTCCCAGCTTTCTCTCCTTCGTTCCTTCTCTCTTTGATTTGTTACAATCTGGAAGGGTGTGAGGGTTGAGGTTTTTCTTTATAAACTACATACCATAATTTTTTTACAAGATTCAATTATGCTTCTATGTAGCCTCATGCAATGATGAGAAATTGTAATTTGCTTCTTTAAAGCATTCTTCGGGTGGAAATGAGAGAGGAAGCACCTGTAAAACAAGAACAATAGATGTCTGATGCACAGGAAGCTATCCTCTAAGCACCCACCAGGCGGGGAGGGAGAACGTGTTTATTTTTAAAGGTTATTTTGTGTAGAACTCGGATAAGTGAATCATGGGACAGAGTTATGTAGCCTTTGCTTTACAGCTTTTAGAAACTAAGCTGTCTGTACTTGTTCAGAATTGTGTGTAAATATGTCATTCAAATGCCAAATTTAAAAGAGAACATTGCTTGACAGTCTTGCTGTCTTTAGTCTATCTTGCCACATACCTTTAAGAACAAACTCGCTAAGATTGGAAAGCACAATGAGATGTGACTTAGTTTGCTTGCTTATTTTAGGCTTCTGTGTTTTAACATAAGAAATATTCTTCTTTTAAGTGCAGTTTTTACCTTAGCGTATATATTAAGACTTGTATTTTCAGATCTGGGTCAGCTGAAGAAATCTCCACATTTGAATAAGTGATGTGTATTAAAATAGCTGAATTCAGAGGATGAGTAGAAATGAAACTTTGAATTGGCATCATGCAGAGTCATGAAAAGAATGTTTAATTAAGTCTCTAGCCATCCTTTTTTGTGCTAGTAGATGTTTCTGTGCAAAAAACATGCATTGCAAACCCTATATCTTGTAATAATGTTTAAATCCCAGATGTTGTAACTCTGACCAAATGTCGAGAGGTGTAAAGCTTTTAAAGGGAAGAAAGGAAGGGGGGGAGGGGGATGGGATAGATGGACGATGGCACCTCCAGCAAAGCCTAGACCGTGAGCACTGCCATGCACCAGAAGCTAATGTATGTCTGCTAAATCAGAATTTTAGTTATGACTAAATAAGATGCAGACAGCATTTTTTCTTAGGAGTTGAGAACAGTCACTCCTAAAGTAATCTCTTCTTACCCCAATTATAATTGCAGTATAGCTGAATTGCAGATTACCAAATTACCTAGAATTAAGATGGTACAAATACAGGGAGAAAAAGAAATGGAGTTGCCCTGTTATTAAATGAAGTATTTTTGTGAGTGGATAATAGCATGGCTCTTTGTCACCGTGCTTAGACATGTTTTGCAAGTTCGAATAAACTTGCACAAATGCTTAGAGTCAACTGAAGGAAAATTAAGGCCTTATGCTAAAATACCTAACAGGTGGGAAGTAATTATGTTAGAGTGTCATTGGATGGCTTTGTTAAAGCAAGCGAAGAGACTCTTGGCATTATTCATATTTCACATTTCTTCATAACCAGTAGCAGACAACCAGTTAGAAGTAGAACCAGTGTAGGATGATCGCAAGAGAGCCAGTAATATCCCTTGTGGCTTATTTATACCAGAGGACTTTACCCATTTCAAGGATAAATAGTACAGCTAATCTGCTAGTCACTGAAGCAAGAACTGCTGATGGCTGCCAAAAAGCTGCTGGTTCAGCATGACCAAAATAGGAGATTATGGAAATGATCAAAAAGGCCGACCTGTGCAGACTGGACAAAACCAGAAAGCAAGAACCAAATATGGAACTTGCTATCACTGGTGTTAAAGCTTAAGTGAACCCATTCCTCCTCCATTCCATAAAAAGAAAGGTTCATGACAGAAGGTTCATTGTTCAAGATTTTTATCTTCCGTATATCTTCATGATGTCATACAGAAGGCTCAGAATTTCACAAATTGAACAGTCACTTTTCTTCCCTTTATATAATAGGGAATTAGTAATAGTACAGTTCCATTAGATAGAGAAAAGTTGGTGTGGGATTTTATAACCTTAAGAGGGGAGAGAGGCTCTTAAGAATTGTGAGCCGTGAAGAGTTTCGGAGTCTATACTACTTGTCTATATCATACCATGCACTGCAATTTAATTATTTAAAATATTTTGATAAATAGGTGTTTGAGAGCTATTAAAGTACTAATAGTGCCAAACCTCACAAATGTAGGGTCTGTTACATGAAGCCACTGGTGACTACCAGCTGTTTAGGTAACGTAGTTGGTAACTGTGTTATGACGCGTAACTCTAGTATGCAATTGAGAATAATTAAGTCCTTGAAATACAGGCTACTGATCAAACTATTTTTTTAATTTACTTTTTTAAAAAGAAATAAACTTACAATGATTTTGTGAGTTGATTTGTCTTCATCTGGTTATGTTTTGCACCTGTAACATGGCATATAGGTGAAACTGTTGCATCCTGACTACAGTGGTGATAAAATATCTTGAACTAATTCTTAAAATCGTTTCCCTTTTGTTTTCATTTTATTTGCTAGGTGGTTGTGGACACAGCACAGATTGAAAATAAAGAAGCTTATGCTCCTCAGATAAGTTTAGAAGGATCCAGAATTGTGGTGCAAGTTCCATCAACTTGGTAAATAAAAATACTGTATTGCAGATTATATTGTTAGCTATGACTGAAATATATAGGGGGAAATATTGCAGTACAAGTGGACGAGAGAATAGTAGGCATTTATAGCATATCTTCCTTAAGTTCCTTCATCTGGAACTGAGTACGGTTCCTGACAGGCTGACAGTTGTTCTTTATCTGTCTGTACTTGTGCTGCCTCTGGAGGCAATGCAAGAGGGGAAGTGCTGGTGCACTCAGACATACTTAGAAAAGAAAAAGTAAAAGCTTGATGATGAAGGTTTAAAAAATAAAAAATAATAGTCCAGTAGTATTCCTGTTATGCTTCTTCCCAGCAGGTCCTCACAGCTCTTGCCCCAGGAAGACCAGGAGTTAGATGAGTTTAATATGAGAGTTTTAGCTCTTTCTTCACTGAGCTGTTTAAGCACTGTCATGAACCGCAGCACTCTGTGGTCTGAGAGACTCTATCCCTGCCAGTTTAGCTGACTGCCTAGGGAAGAACGGTAGGATTAATCTGCAGTTTAGGTGAGGATTTCTTCCCTTTTGAAACAATGATATGGACTTAGAACAGTTCCTTTCTTTCTTACTTCAGAGTGTCCAGTGTTAGGAATTTCAGTACAACACAGTGCATTCTACTGAATCCTTAGTGAGAGCCTGTTACTAGTGGTACCAATAGTATGTCTAGAAGTGCGAGTCAACTGATAGTCTGTTTATACAAATACATCTTTAATTCCTCTATAAACTGGCACTTTTCTGTTCTCTTCTTGTAAATTGCTCTATTATGAAAGAACTAAAATCATGTGGAGTGCTTGAGCCAGGGATCGTGTGCTCTGGAAGAGCTCCTCCTGCTGACACACAGTGAGAGTGGATCTGCACTCCTCTCTGCCTGAATTATTCCTGCTCAGCTAAAAAGCTAATCATTAATCATGATTTTAAAATAAATTATGTAACTCTTATAGTTAGATTAGCTGTATATTCAACAGTAGAAAGAAACCAAGGCTGCAGGCATAGTCTTTAGGAACCCTCAGGCATCCATACATTGTGCTGCTTTTATTAGTTACAGCTCTGTAGTAGCAGACGTAGTGCAGCAATTGGTCTTTTATTATCTGACTAGTATGGTAAAATCATCTAATGTAAACAAAACCCTAAAATTTTAAATTTTAAGTTAAACTTAATGATTACAGGTGTCTGAAAGAAGATCCAGCAACAATGTCTCTGCTACAGAGGAGTCTGGATCCAGAGAAGACTTTGGGGCTAGTAGATGTGCTCTACACTGCTGTGTTCGACATACACAGGTGGAAGGAAGGAAGGTACATCTCTTCCTGAGCCTTATGCTTTCATGTGCTAGTGTCCTAATTTAAACTAAGCCATCATTTTTGAAAGATTTGTACTGATGAATTTAATATTACTGGTTCATCAGGAAGGGAAAACAGTGGTCAAACTGAGTGCAGGGAATTGGTGATCTACATAGGTACCTTGAGGGTACATACAGAGATACTGCAGTCTTCTTGAAACCAAACCAGCAGCTTATCCAAGTGTACAAAAATACTTGTTTCTCTCTTACAAAAATACTTGATTTTTATTTAATTAGTCACCATTTACATCTTGAAGCACAATTAGTATTTCTTAATGAAAACAGTTAATGCTATTGCAAATACTAGTAATAATTTGCATTGTCACCGTAAGAAGTAATTGATGAACTCAGCAATCTCTGGTTTTGCTTCTTCCACTAGCTACTACCCAAATACATGTTTTCCTCTGAAGTACTAACTCAGTTATGTATAAGGTGGTTTGACATACGTGTTTTTGATGCAGGGAACAAGCTTTGCCTTGTATTCAGATCCAGTTACAGCGTGAAATCTCAGACTTTGGGAATCAAGTTGATATGCCATCCGGAAATGGAAGCAAATCTTCAGGTGGTCTGCAAAAGACGTTCTCAAAACTGACTTCACGGTTTACAAAAAAAACTTCCTGCACCAGTACAAGTAACACTGGAAGTTACTCAATCCCCAGTACACCTTCCAAAAATGTCTTCATAAGTTCCAACTCAGAGGAGAAAGCTAAAATGCCCACTAACGTAGACGCAAGGTTACAGAGCATCTTGAACATCGGTAACTTTCCTAGGACTGCAGATCCACTGCAGTCAGTTCAGAGCACAAATAACCAGCTAGTGAATGGGTTTCTAGTTGAAAGACGGGACAACTTCTTCAAACCTGATGATGGCAAGGATGACAAAGGTATGAATTTACCAACTGACCAAGAAATGCAGGATGTTATAGATTTCTTGTCTGGTTTTAACATGGGCAAATCCCAGCAGACTTCTCCGATGGTGAAAAGAAGGAACTCTGTTGCATCCTCTACAGCAGCAGACCAAAAATCAGGAACTGTACAACAGCAACCACAGTCTGTCTCTCACACGCCACTGCATCCTTCCCAGCAAGGCTTGTCACAGCAACAGTCACAAAAGCAGCAGCAGCAGCAAATGCAGTATTACCAACACTTGCTTCAACCAATTGGACCACAGCAACGTGTACCTGCCAAATGGATAACTAATTCTTCGCAGCAGCCAGCCCAAGCTGTTGGAGCTGGATTGTCTCATATAAACCAGTGGAACAATCCTGGTTTTTCAGATTTAAGCTCTGATTTATACAGTTTGGGTCTTGTGAGCAGCTATATGGACAATATGATGTCAGAGATGTTAGGACAGAAACCACAAGGACCTAGAAACAACACATGGCCGAATCGTGACCAAACTGATGGAGTGTTTGGGATGTTGGGAGAAATCCTGCCTTTTGACCCTGCAGGTATGTACCTTTTCATTTATTGTGGGTTGTTTTTTGGTTTGTTTTGTTTGTTGGGATGTTTTGTGGTTTTTTTTTTTTTTTTGTGTAAGGATCCTTTCATAAAGAATACTGTTAAATACTGCTATCAATAACTGTCATTGCCTAGAGCTATTACACAAATGCTAAGGTGCTTACAAAGGCCAGCAGGTATTTGTACATATGCAAAATGAACTAAAGTACAAGAAACTTTCATTAGTAAACAATGGGAACAAGTTCCTTACTTCTTGTCCTAGCTGTAGTAGTTCTGACCTTTCCTACACGGACCGTATCGAAGTACTGAAACAGATACTTCGAGATGATGTTCCTCCTGTTGATAATTTTTTTGAAATTGTTTAAAACTCAGCTCTTGAACTTACGTATTTTACCTCTCCCCAGAATGATCCTTAGTGCTCTTTACCAGTCCTGCAGTCTGGAGATACAGCCAGATTGCATCTTTCCCATATCCCCGCATTTCCCCTCCATTACTGTGCAGTTGCATGGGAGTCTTACTGGTTCCTATTCCACAGCTGTTACTGCAGTGAGAAGCTTGGATGCCAAAGGGTTAGAGACTTTGAAAGAGCAACTGCCATGTGGTTTGTGAGATGTGTCTGAACCACCAATGAACTGTAGATCTAGAGGGATTACTATCAAAAGATGAAGTGAGATAAAATTTTATAGCCATAAGCAAATAGCTAAAAACTATGAAATTGGCGGTAGAGCCTAACAGGAGATTAATGAATTCTTCTGATAGTAGTTCTAAGAACAACTTACAAATCCACTATCTTATAAATATAATTTCTGTTGGCCTGGAACATCACTGCAGAAACTAGTATGCATTTGGGAAAACTGCCTGGAGGGAGGCAGCGCTCACACCAACAAGGAAAACCTGTTATCAAACCACAGAATCCGCTTCCCGTGCCCCTTTGCATGTGCATGAGGACTGTGGAGATATCTTGGGACTCAATTTTGATAGTTATTTTGTCAATTTGATAAATTAGTGGAGTTTCATCATGGTTTAAGCCGAGCTGGTAATTTGGAACCATGCAGCCGCTCGCTCACTCACC